CCCCCCCCCCATCCCTCTTGGCGACGTTTATCTTTTTTGAAGACGACGACGATGACGAGAAGAATAAAGTTAAGCCATTTACCCATTCCTCTTTAACTCAATAACAATATTTTAAATTATTCACAGTTTATCACGATTTTCTTTAAACGGAAAATAATATTTGCTTTAGTACAAAAATATCTTATTAAATTAAATAATAAAATTGGCGAGCCGTCAAATTGTAAGCGTCAATATGACAAGAGATAATCAACTGCGCAGAATCTTATATTTTTGCCAAGTATTCGCACGGCTTATGTCAACGACATTTTTCACGGTCGACCTCCAAACGATACTAAGATTATTAATGCAACCATATGAAAGATGGTGGGCGGAAAACAAAGTGTCACCGCTTTTATAGGCCACATCGTGTGGGATTTACATTAATTATTCCAAAACTTGCTTAGAAATATGGACACATTCTACAATTGTATAAATCTAAGCCCCTTCGTACACAAGGCAACGTGATCTAGGAAACTTTGTATCTTTGCGTAGCAAATGTCGCTCGAAATGTCGACGACTCAATGTACAATTGAATCGTCGACTTTTCTCGCCGAAGATCTTGACAAGCGGGTCGAGAGCAACTGTTTTTGGCGACTAAAGAACAAAATGTCGGTGACGCGTTCTGTGTACGAATTTTTATGAAATTGCAATACGAAATGCTTAGCGACTAAAACCACATTGTGTACGAAAGGCCTAATTGTTAAATGTAGACACAAAACGACTTGTATATAAAGGGCAAGTACACATCGTAGTGGAACTGACCTACACGACTTCCCCGCAACGAATTAATAGTGCGCGACAAATAGTTCGTCGAAAATACGCCATCAAATTTAAACGTGTATAAAGCCATCAGTAAGTGCGCTGTAAACATTATTACACAATATGATAAAACAAGGCATCCAATCCATCTAGGGACAATGCTCCATTATTTTGTATACTTTATTAAACGTATTCCTCTTTAATAGCAGATTTTGGAAACAAAAAAAGGATTGCACAATCTCTTCAATATTAAAAATTTTATTGGATAGTATAACTTTTTTTTTAGTATGCAAATGGTATTAAACTCTCGTTATGTTAAAAGAATATTATAATTAGTATTATTGTAGCCTTTGATTTCGGTATTACTTTGTTTAACTAGCGCGCCATCTGTCATCGAATAGCAAAATCATGTTTAAATTACTATTTATAAAAATTGTTTCAGATTGACGCCCAATTTTTAAAATATTGATTTTTTTTATTTAAATAAACGTAAGAAATTTTGTAACAGCATATTTATAATTTTGTTTACTGCGAATACTAGTTTGAATAGTATAAAAACTAATTTTTTAAACTGAAAAACTAAATAGTTAATTTTTAATTTTAAAATTAAAAATATTTCTGGCAAGCTTTTAAATTAAAAAATGAAATATTTAAAAACAAAACTCACATTAATATCTCACTAAATAGCTCGTTACAGCACACACTGGACACGTGGATAAATTCGAAAACTATCAAATGACCCTAAACTGGAATGAAACACTGGAAGAGGCACGTCTTCGATAGCTGTTCAAAGAGGTTTGATCTCACTCCACCGTCACCCAAGTCCCCGTAGACATGGGTTAATTATATTTATTACACCGAAGCTGTGTCCGTAAACATTCCCAGACGACCGACACTTCAAAGAGATCAATCGCTATTTAGAGGATCGATAGTCGAGTTACACATGGTTGACAAGCCTTACGACACAACTGGCGGAAAATTAGAAAATAAACTACGTATAACTATTTCATATTACATAAAAAAGATAATCAAATAAAGTCTAACCTATTTAAATATATCACAATAATCGAATACAAGAGATTTTTAATTTAATTTAAAGTCAATTTGCCAAACAAATTAGGCAACTGCTTTTAGCTTTAGTAATTTATTCGCACAATATAGGCCACGCCACTCCAGATGCAGCCACAATAAATCACTGACTCAAAAGGTTATCAATAAATTCAGATGCGAATTATGAAAATATTAAGACTTCTGTTCCTGTTTATTGTTAGTGACTCGAGTACTATTCTTAATCAAACATTATTATTATTTGGTAATTTTACAACAATAACATCCAAGTTTATTATTCTATGTTTCGTTAGAAGAAAGAACAATCAATTATTTTATTATAAATATAATACTAAATGAAAATTATTAATAAAAATATGAAAATTAAATTGTCAACACTTTCGTAATTACTACCCGTGAAGAAAGAGATTAGTGAGTCTGAAACTAGTCAATACCTCTTCCCTGTACGAATGACTTTTTCATCGTTTGATTAACCGTTTTATTAACAATTCAAATTAATATGATTACAAGTAACAGTAATTGACTTACCAAAAAGTTAAACTTTGTTAGTAGACACTTTTTACTGACAACTATCGCGTCTGAACGTTGGTCGTGTAAGGGCGCGCGAATTTCCCGCTCTGTGCAGCTTCGACCGAATGGCGCTCAAGGTGTGAACGATTCTGCACACTACTCTAACTGTACCAAAAGTTTATTTTTAACTAAAATCAAAACCAAACTAATTTATTAGGCGAACGTGGTAAATGGTATGGTGTGTTCAAATATAGAAGGATCTAATATAAACAAATTAGAAGGTTGTTCATGAACTGAGAAAATTTTCAAGGGAATATATACAGATGATTAGAGAAAAAAATATTTTAAACGTATTTTAAGCTGTATCTAAGACGCTATCACTTCGGGGTCAATTAAAAATAAAACTGAACTTATCCAACAATATCAATCTGTTCCTAATCGAAAAGCGTTCAATTAAATACACCAATCATTTGAATGTTGTTTTATTAAAATGGAGCTTAGTTAGATAATTTACTTTGATATTTTTAATTTTGAAATAGTGGAATTTGTAGTAGGGTTTCTAAACGAAGTCCTGATAGGTAGAAATAACGCGTAGCTGCAATGATCATTTAGCAGAACGAATGATCTAATAGTAACTACATCAATAATGATAAAATATGGAGGAACGCGTTTGCCAAAAATATAAAAGGCCTGGTTGTTTACAGTCAGGAGACCTTGTGAACAGACACAGGAGTTCGTTTGTCACTATTTGACATTTATGGGAGTCGAGCTTTTCGCAAACGCGAGGCCACAAAGTTTACGACACTCGGATAATTTATAGAAGCGCCATTCCCGCATGAATGGGAGCACAGTTGCACCTCATTTATATTGTCATGGCCCAGCGCGACCCAACTGAGAGGAGGAAGCGGATTTTAACAATATAGATATGTATATCTTTCTTTTTTATGACCTAAATGCGGCTGTCTATAATATACCGCGTATATGTCGATTCGAAAATCTATTTTTTTTTATTGTAAATTATTCTTTGAGTAAGCATTCGGAATTTAATGAAGATGATAGCGTACAAAACGCTTTTACGCTGAATTTCCTAGTCTTAGTAAAATAAATTCATCTTACTGAGTATACGTAATAGTTGCAATTTATACGTTACAATTAGGATTAGATTAATGATATGGTGAATTTCTATATACACCACCTTAGGCTTTTTCAAGTGTGGCTAATAACAATGTAATAAATATTGTATTCAACTTGCATTCATTAGTTGTGTTAGTCATACGGCGCGGGTTCGATGTTATTGGGGGCGGTTATAATTAACGTTGCGAACACTGTCCGACGCAAATACACGATGAATTGAAAGGAGTTGCAATAATGCATTTGTATTTCGTACAACCCGGGATTTTATTTATTAGATTGTTATGAATAAACTTACCATTCGACACACATCGCAGAAACATAACATGGTATGAGAATGCAAGATAAACTAGTAGTAGAAAATTCGTGCTCAATAAGTAGGGGACGCCATAGGTAAGTTTAAAAGGACAACAAAGACAAAATATTTGCAATAAAAGAATCTGATTAGGCCTACTGCCATGTTGACACCCATCAAGTTTTACCCCATCCAGCCATTAATACAAAGAGTACTATTCCTTTGTGATGTAGGATTTCTGTTTCCACATTAAAGAGAACGGCCATCTGTCAATGTATGCACCTGGTAACCATCACGCTGACAGATGGTCGATTAGAGACCAGAATAGCGTCCATTGATGCCACATATTCCCACCTTTGTGCTTTCGTTTATGTGGAAACTTTTGTTTATTATTTCACGGCCATTTCCATTATATCTTCAATGAAAATCAAATATTGTTTATCGACACACTTTAAAAGCGCCTGTAGATATGACTAAACAGTTTGCCAATACCTTTTGAACTAATCACATAACCAGGAGTTAGATATTTATTAATTAGTGTTTTTATAAAATTGTCCCAACCATTATTCAAAAGTCATAAGTTTCATGTCATAATATTAAATGTAAAAAGTCTTGGCGAATCTTTTCATCGATAGATGACGTGCTGAGAAATTTTTCGCCTGCCATCTACCGTCAGAAAGATGGAAATAAACTCGGTGCTTTTCACTAACAGATGGCACTTTTATTTTTTCTAGTAACCTTTTTCGGCGATAGATGGCGTGCGTGGCAAAGTTTGCCTGCCATCTATCGTCGAAAAGAGATATATTTTTTAGTGTCTTTTCTCCAATAGATGGCTGTAGTAGTACAATTAAAAATATAATTAGTATGTTCATATATATATGACATATGTCATAATTTGTCTAACTAACCTCATCGCAGGCGTGACAGCGCGGCTTGAGGCGCTCGGAGTAGTGGCGCACGCAGTAGAGCCGGCCATCCAACGCGCAGTACGCCAGCTCCACCAGCAGCTCATCGCACTCCGAGCACGTAAAGCATGCCGGGTGGAACGCCACCTTTGTATTAATTATTTTATCGTCTACTAGTTGTATCTACTATTTACTATTCCAAAAATTAGCCAATGTATTAAAAGTTAACTAGCTCTTTAATTATAGGTGTGAATTAGTTTTATTTACACTACTACTTAACTTCTTCTTAAGTCCATCTCAATTCTATTCTGTACATAGCATTACACAGGTAACAAATTTAGTTAAGTTTACCTCTTCCCCTATCCTTGGAGCTTGAACCATAATACTTCCACTCCGAATAGGTTTGTTGCATCCCATGCATTCAATAGAAGCACCATGATGCTGGCAAGCTAGACCTAAAAGTAAACAATTAATTTAAAAAAATATAAAATGACATTTCAAATTATCTTTATATCAATAGATGGCGCTGCTTACCGATGTCTAGAGCAATTTCGTTCCTGGCCGAAACAAAATCTTCAAACTGCTTACGATGCTGTTCATCTATATGTCGGCAGTGAGATAGAGATAGGTCTTGTTTGGGTAACTGCATGGCTAAAGCTCGGATTCTCCACGCGCGCCACGCCGCCGACCCAGTGGCGCCCCCTACGCTAGTCGGCGCTCGCTCGGCTAGCGAAGCCCAATATAATTCCGTCTGAAATGTAAAAAAATGTGCAGACAGTATAATAATTGCATATACATATTTCCGGCAATAAATTGTCTTAACAATGAAATATCTGCTAGTTTTTAATACTGCTACTATAGTTGGTAGGTGAGAAGGTCACGTGCGAAACGACTGACATTGACTGCACCCAGTTTGGGAGCATTGGCGTTAATTGAAACACCTGACAGACGATGTAAACGGTAGTGTTCCTGCTGAGCTGGAGGTCGGGTATTATTGGATATTCTTTTTTTATATTTTTTGTACACACATTTGTTGTAAGAGATCATCGGCGGTAAAGTTAGGGTATAGCTTTGAACGAGACACGTTTAATGTACACGTGCCATTAAACATTGAACCTTGCCTTCGAAAACAGCTTACAAAGTTTTGTAATATCGGATGATATCTTTTTTACATGGTTTGTTAAAAGGTCCTTTTTATTATACGTCAAGTCCACTCTTGAACTTCTTGAACCTGAACTTGAATTGTTATGTGTTATTGAGAAGAAGATGAGGGACTTTGCTTTTTATCGTCATTGAAAAATATTTTAAATTTTAAGCACATGATAAGTTGAAATAGAGACTCCCCAAGGTTTTATCCACTAGTAGCTAAGTGTTACCTGCTTGGCAGTGAGTCCGGGAGGGCTGTCATAGGTGTGGTGGTTAAGTCGTGCGTCGCGCAGGCCGAGCCGGTCGCGCACGGAGCCCAGCTCCTCGTGGTACACCGAGTGCTGCAGCCGGTCGCAGCCGCATGACTTGCATGTCTTCCTGTAAACAAAACATAACCACATTAGTTTCAAACTTAGAATGCTCTTAACACAGTTGCCAACAAGAGTCTTTTTTATCATTAACTTGGTGATTTGATCGCCGTACTGATTGAGTCTGTCCTGTTTAATAATTTTTACTATTCAAGGTCACGAGCGTGAGTTTAATGGTATGTTGTGTTTATCTCTCGTAGTTACATTACACTAATGTAATGGAGTAATTATCTTTGTTTGATAAATCTTAGTACAAGTATCTTTGAGGTGCAATATAAATAGCCCAGACGATCTCTTACAGTTCGCAGTTTGAAAGTCCGTGGTCCTTTTTTGTATTATTTGATCTTCAGTGAGTTCAAGTACAATCAAAAATAGAATTTAAATTTAGGTTTACGAGGACGTAGAACAAGTATAGGTTCTTTTTGTGAAAACGATTATAAAAATAATAAAATGTTTTCACATCAAATACAGTAGATAAAGTTATCATTAAATTTCAATAAAGAGCAACTTTTTAAACTTAATTGTATTTGTAGGATATTTAAAGCTATCAAAAATTATTTTATTTGTCAGGAGAAAAATTAGGGTTGCCACGATACGAAAAACCTGAATTTGCATAAGTACTGCCAACCCTGTTAGGATTCGTTTATACAATTAGCATGTACAAACAAGTCTCATCTATAAATACACTGAGCATGGTCGTGACGAGGCGTCGTACACCTAATAGGCCGGCGATGTTGCGTGACCGTCCGACACACATCAATGCCTGTACTTGACAACTTCAATATGTAAAGTGTGATATCGTTATGTTGATCTGCAAACATTAATTGTCACGATTTTCTTTTGTTTTTCAAATTGCAATCACAAAGACATGCGTTATTTAATTGGATCCCGTAGTCACTACTTAACGACTCCTTAAGATGCATACTCGTCATTCAGCGTACATTTTTGGAGTCCTTAAAATTCATGGCACACCATAAAAATTTTCACGAAGAAGGTAATCAATAGAAGCTAATATTATTATAACGATCGTGAATCTTGACATTTGTTTGCATCAAGATGGGTCATTGTATGGAGAGTCAGAATGTGACGTCATTCGTCCGATATGGCTGAGTGCACATAATTCGCAATATATTAATATGATAAGTGTTTTAAATCAATGCCCTCTGGAAATGAACTCTAAAGATATTACAAATGCGAATATTTGGATGGATGGATGGAAGAATGGATATTTCTTAGAATGTATCTTCAGATGGGTTTAACTCTGTGAAATTTGGCATAGGTGTAGAGCATAGTCTGGAAGACACATCGGCTGCTAATTATTTTTATTAATTCTGCGCGAACGAAGTCGAGGGCGACAGCTAATAATATAATAAAAGCTTATATACTGACATCATTATTCAATCTCGTACAAAGCGAATAGAAATAGGGCTTTCAGACTCTATCTACCAAAATGAATTAGAATTCATGAAGATTTATTTATTGTATACAAAACACGTGTACATCGAACCTTGAACTACAGTGACATATAAACACTAAATATACATTATCCAGCAATGGAATACCAACCTGGCGAATACCACGCTACCTGCTCGAGTACGGATACACCGCTGGTAAATTACAAACGACCTAATATGATTCACTCTTACACTAGGAACACCATTAGTTTTAATCAGACCGAGACTAGTCCTAAAAGCAAATGTTTTTAATCAGCTATCCTTGTAATTTGACTTGTAAAACATAACATTACGTTAAATGAGAAACTTTAACTTAATTAAGTTGCATTTATTGACTTATCATATGTTAGATGGCTGTCACATGTTTTGTTACACGGATAAGTTTTCTTTACTAAGATATTACTCGTCTAATTTCAAGGTAAAATGAATTATTGCTTTTAAAGGTGAATAGGATCTTAAAATAATACAATAATCTTACATAAAAAATCGTTGATTTAAAATTTTCGTATGATTTTCGTATCTATGAACTAATATAAAATAACATATTATTATATCCTTGATTTTCCAAATATCATGGTTAACATATAAAATTATGATAGTATCCGGAAGACAGTGTACATAAAACAGATCGTACTCCAAACATCTATTCTGGAGCAGTGGCGCCGCTCCGATACATCCCGCCTGATATTTGTTTTGAAATCGTAAACACTAAAAGGTCCAAAGGTACTGATCACTCCCACTCAATATTAATACATCTCGAAAAGAACATTATATAAGTAGGTACGCGAAATTATTGACTCTGTTGTAATCGAAGCAACGACGGGCATAACTTTGTAATTTTAAATGTTCCGAAAACCAAAATGTCTTTGATATAATGATGTATTTATAAGAAGTAACAATGTTGTGCCCAAATAATAAAATTACAAAATGAAAATGAAGTCTTCATGCTATTTCCTTTTTACAAGAACAATTTCACAATTAAATTGTAGCTAGTCCACTTATCTTCGGCGGCGTTAAACTTCTTCCAACCTGTGTTCAGTACGCTGCCGCGCCTTCCGCGACCTTCATACTGTCTCGTAATGGCTTAACTTTGAACTCTCCACTTTGCTCAAGGTCACAGTCGATTTGTCCAGTCACGTGTATGAATACAGGATTTTATGTAGCTTTTCTTCGCTTCGCTGCCTTTCTTAGATCTAGGGTGTTCCAAATTTCCGGTTCGAAAACAGAGATAAGTCAAGAGAAAATTATATAGACATAACGCAGTGATTGTGTACCGTTCGATTTCGAATAACTTTAAGGTAATTTAATGTAAGTCATCTTTTGAACATCCTCTATGTACTTTGCATATAGATATTTATCTATATGCAAAGTGATAAGGTAATAATGACTGCGGTGTGAGGCGGCTCGCAACAACCGATACGAGATAGTGTCAGTTCCCACGGCATTTGTAATTCGCTTAATTGGTATGCGCAGGCTGCAGCGGCGGCGCCATCTATGATGTCAACGACTTTTGTTATTGCATGCCTTTCTATTAATCCTTTGATTATATGATTATAGGGTTGACACTCTAATGATGATTTTAATTGTAATGAACGAAAAAAAAACTTCAGTGTTGTCACAGTGCAGTAAGATGTTTATCATGACTATAAATAAAACGTTTTTATGGTTATTTCAAGCGTTATGACGGTAAGAAGAGTAAATTCTCCGTTCCGAAAACATAGTACAGTTTCATTGTACACACATTTCTTAAGCTTGTCTTCTAAAATATAAATAATTCTTTTATGTACTGTGAGATAGAAATTAAATAAAACTATAAATAAATTGATGTGCTTAGAGGAAAGTCTTCTATTTTCTGTTGGTTCCTTGACGTTTTCGTTTGAAAACTGTAACGGGAATAGAACCCCGACAATAATCTATCATTCATCGCGAGTCAGTTAATCTTCGCATGTTTGACGTAGACGCCGACAACTGCATTTTGTCACTGAGCCGATTTACTTCATCAAAGATGTATTTAAGATCTGCAGTCATTTATTACTTACTCCTTAAATAATTAAAGATTGAGAAAGCAAAAATATTAGTTTGCAGTCTAACTTATTATCGATTGGGGATCGATTATCGGGTGCGGCTGTAAAAGAATATGTACGTAAATCAAGACACTGCTGTTGACAAAATTAATCATAGAAATTGATTTATGTATCAACAAAAAAACATCCCTAATTATTGCTCAACTACTTTGACTTCCGCTAACTAAACATATAAAGTATTTTAGACATAATTTACATAGCCATTAAGTTGGATTTGCTATGGCACACTAAGTTGTATCTCACTCATTGCTGTAATTACAATGTTACTCATGCACTTATGGCACACGACGAAAGTTTATGAAGATTAACACGAAAATAAAGTGGTGAGGTTATTTATAGAAATGGGGTCAAATGAAATAATAGAAGCTAAACACGCCTTGATTTCGTTAAAAGAAATTATAATAGAAAGAAATAAATAAATTTATTACAACACAGATGAAAAAATATAAAGCGCAATTAAAAGTGTGTCAAAAGGAGTCATTCAGCTCAGCGTATGAAGGATATAATTGCTTTTATAAATGTCTCAGTTTTGAAGTCGCAAACTTTTCGGTTTTTATAATTTCATTATAGAACACTTTTCAAAATTTTGTAGAAATATCGGGACACGATTTAATAACAAAATTATTAATATTTACAAAGAGTTATAAAAACTGCTCCCTTCCGCTCGTATATTGTGTGTTGACACAAGGTTGACACATTAAATCGTATACCAATGTGAATTAGTTCGGGTGCAGTAAATGCGTCGTGTTATGGCAGGAACCGGTAACCACTGCTATTGTTTATGCAGAAGATAACGCAATATACTTGCAATGTCTTTTAACAAAAATAGATATGATCAGTTTTCATTTATAATAAAACTTCTAAAGTTAAACAGACAGTTCTGATTAATACTGTTTGAAGTATTCAACCTCTTTGGTAGACAAAAAGTTACATACTAAAGAGGTACTGGTCTCTAAGAATGCAAGAAGAATTCAAACAAATAACAACGGAATGTAGTAGCATTAAGTTTATATCTGTCATAATTAGTCAAAACCCTGACGTACGAGAACAAGGAAACAAGGAACAATAAATGTTTCGCCATAACAAAGTTTTGTTTATCATTAGAAACACATAGACTGCACTTAAACACATTGCTTTGATGTGTGATTTACAATTGTTTCACGAACAAAGCTGTTAAGAAAATATTTTAACTAGCCCATTACAAATTCTGTATTAATTTTAACGATGCATTTTCGTAAAATTTTAGGAGCCATGAAATCAAAAAAAGTTTGAGAGGAATTAAAGATGTATTAATATTCTCTTTGTTATAGAAATTATATCATGATTAAGGTCCCTGGTAGTTACGCACTCTACTCAAATATTATAATTGGTTATTAATTTTAAAACGTTTTGCAAAATAACTGATACAAAGCTGAAATGAAGGAATGACGTATTTAATTATCTAAAGACATCTACACACAGGATGGAAAACA